CCCCATATTCCTCCCTCTCTCTCTCTCTCTCTCTCTCTCTCTCTCTCTCTCTCTCTCTCTCTCTCTCTCTCTCTCTCTCTCTCTCTCTCTCTCTCCCCCCCACCTTCCCCCGGGTCCCCTCATGACTGCATGCAGAAATTAATGCAACAACCTTCCTCAAGGGCCGTTTCACTATTTCCTCTTGAAAAAAACTCGGTCTTTACTGAAAATGAAAAGACAAAAGGAGAGATTTATGACTACAGCCACATAAACTCTGTGCTTGAGGCAATCATTAGCATGCATAACTTTATAGCTTTACCCTCACCCCATTTTCCTGTTCGAAATATACTCATGCCAACTGATGCTCTTCAAAATATCAAGAAGTCCATCAAGATGAAGATAAAACGGGGATAGAAATCTGATGCTAGAAAAGCAAGTTGCACATACACACACACACATCCACTTGTTGCCAATCATTAATCAACTGAGAGTTGGCCCATAAAGAACGACAGCCTTATGCTCAGATGAACAGGAAATACTGTGGGACTCGACTGCTTTGGATTCTGTGACGAGCATGTGTTCTGCGAGCAAACCAAGATAAAAAGAGGAATAGGCTTTCCACCCCATCACCTGGCTTATGTCACTCCACTGACTCCACCCATAATCCAATCGCACACTGCGCAGCTAGGTTAATTGTGGCACCCAGCTGGGCTGCCCGTCCAGGTGCCCGGGGGTGTCCCACTCGAACCAACCAGGGCATGTAAGCGGGTCAACCAAGGCATGTAAGAAGTCCAGCAATTCCTTTTTCTTTTGCCATTGGTGGGGCGTTCTGTGTCCACCGAATGCAGCCCAAATCCAAGATCTCTTTCGTTTTCCAGTGTTGTCAGCTGGGAGCCACAGGAGCACGGGCCGGGGGAAGGGAAAGGGAAGGCGGAGGGGGAGGGGGAGGGGGGGAAAGGAGGTTATAAATGGACTTGCAAGGGGCTTAAGGGGTTTGAAGGGTGGTGCCTTAGTTTGATATTTCTAGTTTCATTTTTTATCTCTGGTTCAATAAGGAATTATTAGGTGACCCTCAGCCAAAAGCCGTGCATTGCAACTACACGAGTAATTTTAGAAAAATTTGCACTCGAGCTGGCCTGGATCTTGCCCAGCCAGGCATTCCGGGCAGCTAGAGCCAACCCAAGCGCCCGGAAAGTTATCCTAGCTGCGCATGGGGAATCCGCCTCGGCAAAACAAAGCTCGACGCGCAGGGGGAATCTGCCTCGGCAAAGCTTGGCGCGCAGCGGGAATCCGCCTCGGCAAAGCTTGGCAAGCAGGGGGAATCCGCCTCGGCACAACAAAGCACGAACGTAGTAGTGGTTTAAGGTTGCTCTGCGTCAGGGTGAAAAATGAAAAAACAAACAAACAGAAACAGTTTGGCCCATGAAAAATGTTTCCGCCAAACCACATGCACATTTCAATCAAAGTTGATGTGACGTGCTAGGAATGGCGTTTCAGTCTGGGCAGGCCCAAGGGGCCGGTTCGTACAGATCGGCTTGGCTGAACTGGTGGTTTAATAAGAGAGTAACAACCGCACACGCCCTTCATCCGTGCCCTTCTGCAACCCAGGCCTGGTTTTCCCCACACCCTTCTTCACTGCTTCCTGACCCTCCTTCCCATTGGCAAACACTCTCAGCCTACCTTGACCACCATTTCCCCTCAGTGCCACAGACAACTTTGCTTGCCGGTGATAAGCAACCGGACTGATGCCCCCCGAGAATAGAAGGGCCTGGGAGTGAGTGGTAAAAAAAAAAAAAAAAGAAAGAAAGAAAGAAATGAAAAGGAACAAGACATGAAACATTCTTCAGAGGCAAACGAAGGTTCCAGTTCCAAACCATTTGCATTTTGATCTTCCAGGAACTGCATTACTCGAGGACATGGGGATGAGGTACCCAGAATTGCTCCTAGGCAACCAAGCACTCCGACCTGTTTATCAACCAACAGAGCAACGAGGCGTAGAAACGTCAGCCACCTGATTGGACTTGTCGACCTTTGTTTATTGAGCAGTAGAACCTAGTTCCAGCAAAATAACTTTCATCCGTTTGGTTGGCGGCGCTTCGCGCCTTGTGCCTGGAAGAAGGCGGGGAAAAAGACGGTTGCTGAGCCAACTCGCTCGCGGTGAACGGAATTAGAATTTTCGCTGGGAGTTGCACTGAAGTGCACCAAGCAGATTACCAAATTAAGCACCTCACAGAAAGTGGAAGGAGCTCCCGCAACAATGACGCTTTTTGTTTGTTGAAATGAAATTTATCAGATAGTAACAGATACATCTTTTTCTTTGCCTTCCCTCTTTTGTTACCCCTCTTTTCTTTCGCCCCTCCCTCTCCCTCCCTCAAATGCAGCATTTTCGTAAACGGTTTTATCCCTCCGCTTGAGAAGGAGCTGGCTTCAGCACCAAAATGGACAACCCGATTTTCAAGATGGTGTGACCTGCACACAGTTTGCCCTCTTACGTAGTTCTATAGCAAACATAAGATGGGTGCTGCCGATATGGGGAAGCATCCTTTTCGGATCACGAGTATTTGATAAATGGAAAACTGATATGCATGCCAAAAATAGAAGTGACACGATATCATCCATCCCACGTGGCTGCACGGTACCCACATGTAACTTTTAGTAAAATAGAACACGAGTTAGAATCCTGATGGAATCAGACGAACACAATAGAGTTAGGAGCTACCTCGTTTTCCAAATGCAAAAAGAAGGAAACTCCAAAATAGTAAATACCATACTTGCGCCGCATCACGCGGGCGTGAGTTGTGCATGTGCGACGCATAGCGCACGCGCACGTTATGTGGCGCATCACTTTGAAAAACAAAAAACAAAATCCGAAAGGACAGGGTGGGGTGGCCAAACGTGCCCCTTGCTTCTAGAAATCAAACTGGAGGAGGGAAAAAAGTTGGGGCCACGTCATACCCCAAAACTGTGTGCATGTCCTAATTGTATCCAGTCTCTTTTCCGGAGGGTCCCTACAGCAAAGCAGCAAGGACCCATCGCGAAGCAGAGATAGGCTTCAGGCTTCCAGTTCTGCATGAGTGGGCCGATAATACATAGTCTGGATTCGAATTCAGGTCTGTGTATCAGCAGTTATGGGTCACTAACTCAGCTAGGCCCTGTTGCTCTCTGAACGTGATTCGTTTTCCT